GACGAAAGCTTAGCACGCTTTCACCGGAATCCAAGGAGATTGCCTGGATGGCATCGCCAAGAAGAATGTTCCAACAAAGCCAATCGACAGCCGGCCAAGAGGAACCAGCCGTCGTCTTCTAGTGAGATCAGCCTTTGAATCTTTTAATTACACATTTTCATTTGAAATGGAAGTGAACGCAATAGTTATAAACCGAGAAATTCGCAACAACCGTCAAGACGATCCTCATTTGGGTTCAGGAAAGGCCGATTTCCGAACGGAATGAACGGCGCCACGCATCATGCCAACGGGGAAAATGGAACCTAGACAACCATAATGGGCCCTTGTAATAACATTCCTCTAAAAAGTTAGGGCTGGGCCATGCAAGTGGAGGGAGTCTTGGACGAACGAACGAGCAAGATGGAAATGTAATCAGACAACATTTGTCCATCCAATCTGGCAGAGTCTGGTCCAGGTCCTCGAAAGGCACCGAGAATGGGAGCACCTGACTTTGGGTGTCCCTGCTGCCCGGTCGGGCAGCCGAAACGCCGGTCTGTCGGGCCGTTGTATTGCCCCTGACATCGACCTATCCGTTTGCCTTTGTCAAGCTGATTGCGACCGTTTGGTCGCCTTGGTCACATGGCCCTTAAACCCGACGTCAGTCATGACGACATTCGCACAAACCGGTACATAAGGGGCTTCCTCACTCTTGAGCTCCGTGCACCAGGCTGATCTGGAGGTGGACCTGGCGCTTGTTGGTGCTGGGGCACTTGGAGTTGAGAAAGGGGAAGACAAGCGGGTAGATGGCGCAAGCTCCGGGTACCGGCGTCTCCATCACCACGCAGCCGTCCTCGAGTCGCCGGTAGACAGTGGCTCGCGAGTGGCCCGATCCGGGCCGACAGGGCGACGTGAAAAGTGCGGCGCCACTCTCGCTCCCCGGGGCGTTGTGTGAGACGAGGCCGGCGCAGGCAGACGAGGAGAATGATGATGATGATGATGATGATGATGATGATGATGATGATGATGATGATGATGATGATGATGATGATGACGATAATGACGACGACGACGAAGACGAAGACGATGACGATGATGATGATGACGAGTCATCCAGAAGCGCTTGAGGCAGAGTTGTCTTGAATTCGGTGCCCCGTTCCAGGAGCAGGCGAGTCATGGCGCCCGCCGGCGACAAAGCCGTCTCATGTTGGGTCACCGGGCGAGCTACAGCCCTGACGAAACAAACCATGGCCAGCTCCTCGGGATCGGCGCCGAAGGGATAGCAGTGAGCATGAGGCTGTGCCGGGTGTTGATGGAGCAGCGGATGATGCTGGCGCGGCAGACAGTTGGTCTCCAGACAGTAAGGCGAAGCACCAATAGGGGAAGAGGAGGTCAAGAGCGAGGGCGAAGAGGCGGATGAGGGTGAGGAAGAAGATGAGGATGAGGAAGAAGAGGAAGAAAAAGAAAGGGAGGAAAAAGAGGAAGAAGAGGAGGAAGAAGATGGGGAGGAGGAGAATGGTGAAGCCCAGGCAGCCGAAGGCGTAGATACGTGTCTGGGTGTGAGGCAAGCGAGTTCAGAGTGTCTAGTTGCAGAAGTGGCCATCATGAGGAGAGCTGAATTGGGCGACGAAGTTCCAGCGAGAGGCGCAGTCAGAATCTCGTCCAAATGTGAGGGACAGTAGAATCTGATGGAAATAGACAAAGTGAAGCAAGCGGGCCCACATTTACTCAGCAAAGCTGGCTGCTGATGATGGTTAGATGCAACATTTTCAGCATTAGTGTGACAAAAAGCGTTTTTGCCAAATACACTCTTTACGTATTGAACTAATCGCTATCCCAAATAAAAGTGTGTGATGAAGAGATTCGAAGGTCGATCCCATCAGAAGAGGATTGCGCATTCCTCTTGTCCATCTGTACTTTGGCTTTACCGAAATATCTGTTCGACTCTCGCCCCGAGGCAATCCCTTTCAACATCTTTGGAGCAGGATAATTCAGATTATTACAACCCATCCAGGGTGGACTGCAGTTTCATCCTCGCATAGGTCTTATCAGCACCCTCAACGAGAGTCGAACCGCGACAGAGCAAAATGTGGCCGGGTGGTTAACGTGTCTAGCTCCAATTATGCACTGTCACGGTTCGACTCCCGCTGGGGGTGTTGATAAGACCGATGCGAGGTCGAAACTGCAGTCCAC